TCTAGAGAGAGAGAGAGAGGTAGAGTCTCATGTGCATAATATGAAATTTCCTTTTAGTGAAAAAAGCTTCCTATGAAGAGAAACATTGATGGTCTCTTTTGAAGACTCATGTAGAGTGAGAGGTTGATTTCCTATAGAGAAGCGATTCCTATGGAGACGTTGGTTTCTTGTGGAGACGTGATTCCTATGGAGATTTTGGATTGTTTCCCTTTTTAATAAGATAAAGTCTCGTGTGCTCTTAAAATTATTCTCTTCTTAGACAGTGGTCTAGTTATGGAATAGAGATGAGAGATCGGCATCGTGCCATTTGGAAGAGAATGCTTCAAAGGGTTTGCTCAACTTGGTTTTTGTCAAGGTTTGTTCCAAAATCTTTGATGTAACTTTCTCTAGTATAATATATTTTAATTTGCCGTGCCCATGGAAGTAGCTCTTATAGGGTGAAACACGTAAATATTTGCGTTCTTATTGTATGTATTTCAAGTTTTATTTCTCATACTTTGTTTGCCAAATATTAACCCATCGAGTTTAGAGCTTTCGCACACAACAAGTGGTATCAGAGCACTACAAGTGGTATCAGAGCACAACAATTGGTATCAGAGCACAACAAGTAGTATCAGAGCCATGGTTTGGATTTTCGGTAAGGCAATAAAGGTTTCAAATGCAAGGTTCGAGGTGCAAGGTTCGAGGTGGAGAAATTTGATGGAATGCAAACACTATTTTTTAGTAAGAATGATGAAGGAATTTATTTGACAAAAGATGAAGAGTCCATGAAGCTATCAAATGGGTGTTGGCATGGTGAGCAGGTGATTTTGATACCAAGGTGGAGATTGTTAGATTTAGTGCTATCCAAAATTACCAACATAAGGAAATCCTATATTTTGTGGGATTGAGATACTCTCATATTATGTGGAATGGAGATTTATATTGATGAGTTTTCTAAAAAAAATAGAAATCCAAAAGGATTAGGAATCGTGGATATATCTCTTGGTCTTTTGAGATATATGCAAGATCTATAGGAAGTTTTCTATTTACTATGGATTCTTAATATTATATATATGGGATGAAAGTACGGAGAATTTTGTGTGTCATATTTGGGTCACCATATGGAAATGGTGGTTCCTCTAGAGAGAGAGGGAGGTAGAGTCTCCTGTGCATAAGATGCAAATTCATTTTAAAGAAGAGAGCTTCTTATGAAAAGAAACATTCATGGTGCCTCCAGAAGACTCTTGTAGAGGTTGGTTTCTTGTAGAGAAACGATTCCTATGGAGATGTTGGTTTCTTGTAGAGAAGCGATTCCTATGGAGAGGTTGAGTTGTTTCCCCTTTTAGTGAGATAAAATCTTGTTTGCTCTTAAAGTTGTTCTCTTCCTAGACAATGGTCTAGTTATGGAATAGAGATGAGAGATTGGCATGGTGTTGTTTGGGAGCGCAGGTTTGAAAGGGTTTTCTCGACTCAATTTTTGTCGATGTTTGATCCAAAATCTTTGATGTAACTTTCATTGGTATAATAGATTTTAGTTTGTCGTACCCATGGATGCAGCCCTTCTAGGGTGAACCACGTAAATATCTGTGTTCTTGTTGTATGTGTTTCTTGTTTTATTTTTTTGGCTTGTTGCTTGTTTTTGTCAATTCTTTTTCTCGTACTTTATTTGCCAATAAATCAACCCATCAGGTTTAGAGCTTCCACGCACAATAAGTGGTATCAGGGCACAACAAGATCCCATGAGAATGAGCTTGTTTGTATATGGTATCCAGCTCTTGGCAGGATATGTTGTATGCATCGCAATCCCAGACTACCAAATCTTTTGGCCTATGTCAATCCGATGATCCCGGAGCCTTTCTGCTCCATTTTTGGTAACTATGGTTCAAAACATTCCATTTGTCAGTGCAAGGTTTATATTTTAATTTTCATTTAAAAAATATACCATGTCAAAAATTTCCTAAAGAATCCTAAATTGCTCCTTCTAAGGTTTCGGAATCTTGAGTGGCTCAAGCTAAATTACAAAAATAAAACATGAAACTATCGACAACAAAAATACCCTTGGCTCCGTATTGCCCCCTAAACAATGACAGGTATTTTGGTCATTTGATTTGATAGTATTGCTTTCCCATCCTTGAAGGAGCAACGTACTTTTGTATTTTGAAGCAAGCAAATTAAGCGGGAAAAATTACGAAAATTGTTATTTATTTTTTCATATTCCCATGAATGAGGTCAATTTGGAATTTCCAAATAAATTTTCTAAAGAAGTGCTTCTATGAAATGAAATTTAAAAAGTAAACCATGCAGTACTAAGTAGGATCTTTTAAGCCCTTTAATAATTCTGTAAGATTTAAGTCCCTTTAAGGGTATTTTCTTTTGCCAGTTTCACGGGTCAATTTTATCGACATTTAAATTTGATCCACAATCTGTCTCAAGATAAATTTTTAGAAGAAAATTCATTTGATGTCGGTCTATGCACCAAAACCCATCCTGATTTTTTGTTTTTTATTGGAAAGAAAAAAATCCCTCCTATTTCTTAAAAGTTTTCTTATGTTTGTTCATGGTGAAGGTTAAACTGATCTTCAAGTAGCACTGAAATATGGATGCTCCTTTCTTCCAACTATTCATACTTATAGGATTAACCTCTCCTTATAGATTCTACTTTCTATAAATTCAAAAAAGGTTGTCATGATATTGGGAAACGTCAAATTGATCATCTCGACATCAAGGTATATAGAAATGCAGAAAAAAGAGATTTTAAGTCTTAAAGATTGTACATGTTGCAGCACATTATCTAGACCGTCTATTTTCAAGATTTTCATGTGCTTATAAATTTGTTTGATTTGAAACATTTTTGGAGTTTCAAAAAAATTACTATTAGAGATAAAAATAGACTTTCGCACATCTTAAGAATTTTTGACACCAAAATTACATCTAATGACAAAATTTCGAGGTGCACCTTATTTTGATTTTTAAGGTCGCAATGTTATGCAAACCAAACCTGTTGAGAAATTCAAACAAAAAAGGAAGTGGAATCAAATCCGCAAGACACAAACATAACTATACATAATAACATTTACATCCCACACACCACACACAAATGACAAGCTTTATTGAAAGTCCATGCCGAGTCACAATACAAACCCCATAACACCATGCTACTGCCAGGGGTTCATGAAGCACCTCATACAGTACCTGTTCACTCATGTAAAAAACACAGATATTATGATACAGTTATAAGCCATGCTATAAGTTCACACAAACACTATCTACTGGTCATTCTCCCTCTCTATTAGCTTCATTCTTTTAGGGAGTTGGCCCTGGTTCATGTGGTATTCGCCGGAAATCATCGATAGAAATTTGGTGGTGATTATCAATGGTAGAACTGCGGTTTTGATTGTAAGTTTCGTTGCTTTCTGTATTGCCGTTGCTGATACCCTCCGCGCTGCGGTTTTCGTCACTGTTAGCAGGTTGTTTGTTTACATCACCATTTTCTTGATAGTTCACGTCATCGATCACTGAGTTTTCATGTTTTTTGTTGGTCTTCTCCACAACATTATTATGTAGCAATTGTCGTTCGATCGCATGTTTCTCAGCCTCAGATGCCGCTTGTGCATACTCCTCTATCCTGAGCTTAGGCTTTACCACATGGTGGTTTCCTTCCATTAATATTCTCTTTGCATCGGTCATTGAAATCATTAAGCTCAGTACAATAGCCAGGAGACATAAACATAATATCTTCATGCTTCTAATCTGTTCCACAGAAAAATGGATGAAAAAAGAAATTCATATGAGTGAACCGACTTCTATAATCGAACAATTACACTAAGAACCTGTGTGATATTAAAAAACACATTACAAAGATGTAAGATTGCATCAACATACCTAGTAATTTGCTTCTTGAGATTTTGAACTAGTTGCGGCCTTTACAGAGCTGCCATGGTAGAGTATGCCCACCACTTTATAGAAGAATTACAGAAGAAATACTGTTGGCACTATTGTTAGTGGTTAATAAAATAGAACAATGGCAAACAAAATGGGGTATCATTGCCATTACCGCTACCCACTGACAATAACATTAGTGGAAATCTGGCTGTAGCCAATGGTTGATGTTGTTTATCCCTAAAGTGATGATTAAGAAGAAATAAAGACGATAAAAATTTCTTTCCAATGTAGATATTTATTGGGCTCAGTTATCATATTGAAAGGATTATTTGTCAATTTTTTAATTCAACAATGGAATTAGTTCTCTCCATATTCAATTGAAGTTCAAACATAATCCACATGACTATATAGGAGAACTATCAAACAGCTTCTCATGAATGGCCATTTTCTCTCCTTAAGAAAAGCCAATTGTATCAAAATATCATGATAATTTCTTATCTCTTTCCAATAGGGAAGTGTTTGGTGTATATAAGGGTGGAAACAGGGCCGGGCTGGGTCGGCCAAGGCTAGCGCTGGTCTTGTTAGGGCCGGACGGGCCAAACCCGGCTGGCACTGGCCCATACCCAAGCCCGGCCCTCGGGGGCCCTACTTTGTTATGGCCCGGCTGCCCAGCCCATTGCCAGCCCTAGGTGTATTATGCCATTATTACATTACATATTTATCATATCGAAACACAAAATGGAAATTCAGTACAGAATATGTTAAAAGATGAGCATAGTCAATCTTGCTTTCATTTCTCTAAGAAGTTGAATTTCTTGAATTGATTGAGTCATTTAAAGATGGAAAAAGCGTATATAAGGTTGCAACATTAAAAATATAGAATTAAGGTGAACCTAAAAAATCCATCATAAAATGCTGTTTTGATGTTGGAAAATCTTTCAATTGATTATCTCCACATTGATATGTACAAATATGAAATGAAAAACATATTTCAAATCTCAAAAATAGTGTTTCTTACAACACATTATTTGTACTGTCTATTTTCAAGAATTTCATATGTTTATAGATCTATTTAACTTAATCATTTTTGAAGTTCGAAATTTTATGATATAATATAGATCTTAATGCCATCGTAAGAATTTTTGACATCAAAGTTACAGAAAATTTGAGGTGGGCCTTAATTTGATTGTTTGAAGTTGCAACCATTATGCAAACCACACCTTTTAAAGATAGAATATGAGTCCTAAATATACAACGGCACTTGTGTCGGTGTTCCGCAAGGGTAGGTATCGAATACTTTGATACTTAGAGAGAAATCTTGATTTTTGTCTTCACATCCATATAATAGTATTTTCATTTGGTGTAGTTCGTTATGATAAAATTCTCATAATCAAGTTTGACGTATTGTATCATTCATGCTTTAAAGGATGATAAGACTAGGTTTTTGGTTTCGATATTTCATTCATCACACCATAGAACAAGTTTTTGGTAAATGACTTTTAAGAATTGGTTAAGTTGGAAAAATAATGTAGAACTCTTTCCATCTATATTTCATTTACATAGAACAAGTTTCCGTAATAATTGTCCTCCTTACATGATAGCCTTTGCCATGATCCTTGTAATGATGCTTTGATGATTGAAAAGAAGGAGTGTGCCCAAGAATTACAAATCCTCTTGAGCCTTGAAAAGAGTATATGAAGGCATAAGTCAATAAAGAAGTCGTTAAAGGAAGAGGATTCGAATACTATTTTCTTTTTTTACCTATCTACCGTGATAACAACAATGGGTGATCGTATTATTTCTCTTAAGGATCAGAATGGTAATTCTCTAACTACTGAAGCTAATATTGATAATCATAAGATTGGATTTTTTGATGATCTCCTAGCCCAAGAAAGTGTTATTGATGTTCATCTAGCTTATCAGTGTTTGCCACCATCTTTCCTTAGTTCTAATAAGAAGGAAAACTTGGTAGAAGATGTCACTATTGAGGAGATTAAGGATTGTATTTGGGGGATGAAGTGTGACAGTACTCCTGGCCCATATGGTTTCTCTGTGGAGTTCTATATATTCGGGTGGGAGGTTATCAAGAAGGATGTTTTTCTAGCCCTTAGAGATTTCTTCAGAAGAGGTAAATTCCTCAAACAAATTAATCCCACCTTCATCTGTTTAATTCCTAAAGTAGATTCCCCTAAGGTCATGGAAGATTTCTGCCCTATTGGTTTATGTAATGTTCTGTATAAAATCATTAGTAAATTCAATCCTAATTGTTTATGGGTGGTGCTTGGTGATCTTATTGATCCTAGACAAGCTGCCTTCTTGAAAGGTAGACTTATTATAGATAATATTCTCATGGCAAATGAGCTCATTTCTCTTTGCTATAAGAATACAGTTATGCCTAAGATGTGTTTGCATATTGATTTGAGTAGTGCATATGATAGGGTTTCTTCGGGCTTTATTTTGGCTAAGATGCATGCCTTGGGGTTTCCAGAAATCTTTATTTCATGGGTTCAACTTTGTCTTTACATTACTTCCTTTTCTGTGCTAGGAAATGGCTCTCCTAAGGGGTTATTTAGAGGGAAAAAGAGCCTAAGGGGTTATTTAGAGGAAAAAGAGGGTTAAGGCAAGGTGATCCTTTGTCCCCATATTTGTTTTTATTGGTTATGGATTATTTCAGTAGACAGATTAATTATGCTATGGTGCAATGGATGATTCCTCGGGCTTTCCATCTGGGTATGACTATGGGGTTTCACACCTATTCTATGCTGATGATGCTTTAGTTTTTTGTAAAACATACATTACCACTGCTATTATTATGAAAGGTATTCTTTCCACCTTTGAATTCACTACTGGTTAGAAGTTAAACACTACAAAGCAAAGTGTTTTTCTTTGGTATAACACAGGCTGCTCGATCCATGATTTTGATGGAGTTGAACTTTGGAGAAGGCTCCTTACCAGCAAGATACTTGGGACTGCCTCTGTATTATGGTCATCTAAAGCATAGACATTGCCACAGTTTGGTTGGCAAGGTCATTAGTAAGATTGGTACATGGCAAGCTCTTTGTCTATCCTATGTAGGTTGTTTACAACTACTGAAGTTAGTACTCAGTGCATCTTCCATCTTCTAGATCTTATCTTTTATTTTACGGAAACGAACTTGCAATTTGGTGTAGAACGAATTCGAGACCTCCATGGACTTTGTGGTCTTTATGGTTAGAGACTTTGGATATAGTGGTTGGACTTCAAACTGATTTTCAGCATGTTTACAAAGGAGCCAATGAAGATAATAATTCTCTAGCCAAACTTGCATGTTGTGCATCCAGTAAATTCATGACTCGTTGTCATTGTAATTATTATGTTTAGTTTCGTTATCAATATAAGTTTGACCTTGTCAAAAAAAAATATATGAACCGGTCTTACAGGATGTGTGTGCTCACCAGCACTGACCCTATGAAGCTAATTCACGGACCATCTTTGAGCCATGTGGAAGAAGAGAGCGACTAAGACAACACACATGTTGTGGCTTGGTTTGCCTATGAGTAAGGGCTGATACTTCCCTACCGTGTCACTATGGTGGAAGCCACGTATCCAGATTATCGCTCATTTGGAGCTGCTTTCACTCGAATTGAACGTATCTTCTATCATCCTGGAATGATGATTTCTACAAAAAAAGTATTTTAGTTTTACAATGAATCTCGAATTAATGCCCCACATAATTCGCTTGGCTAACTTGGATGTAGAAGGATAGAAACAAAACCATTTCTTCCGAGTTCATGAGTCCAAGATTTCTTGGTAATGAGATCTGTGTTTGTGGCATTCTTCATCACTGACATATCATAGACATAATAAAAATATCTCATGTCCTTGCTTCTTCATGTTAAGAGAAAGGACATGAGAACCCTAACTGCGCAATATGTTGAGAAAGGTAAAAGTTTATATAAGGTTGACATTTTGAAACATAGAATTAAGGTACAAATCCTTCCAAAAAAGGTTGTTATGATGTTGGAAAAGCCAGAATTTTATATCGACATTGTGGTATATAGATATGCAAAAAAGAAGACATTGCAAGTCCTAAAAATGGTACATCTTGCAATACATTAACTGGACCATCCATTTTCAAAATTTTCATGCGATTGAACTATTTTCAAGTTTAAAATTTGATAATTAGAGATAAAAATATCGCACCAACTAAAGAATTTTTTACACCAAAATTACATCTCATGACAAAATTTTGAGGTGCACATTAATTTGATTTTTAAAGTTGCGACCTTATGCAAACCAAACCTGTTGAGAAATTCAAACAAAAAGGGAAATGGAATCAAATCCCCAAGACCCAAACATAACTATATGTCATATTATTTACATCTCGGATACCACACACAAATGAAAAGCTTTATTGAAAGTCTATGCCAAGTCAAAATACAAACCCTAAAACACCATGTTACTGACAAACTGTAGGCGCTTTTGCACTAAGCCAAGCGTTCATGAAGCACCTCATATATTTTCTGTTCACTCATGTAACAACACAGATATTATAGTACAGATATACGCCATACCTATGGTGCTTATATGTCCACACAGACACTATCTACTGGTCATGCTCTCTCTCCATTAGCTTCATTCTTTCAGGGATTTCTCCCTGGTACATGGGATATTCGCCGGAAATCATCTGTAGAAATTTGGTGGTGATTATCTATGGTAGAACTTTGGTTGTGATTGTAAGTTTCATTGCTTTCTGTATTGCCATTGCTGATACCCTCAACGCTGCTGTTTTCATCGCTGTTAGCAGGTTGTTTGCTTACATCGACATTTTCTTGATCGTTCATATCATTGACCACTGAGTTTTCTTGTTTCTCCACAACATTATTATCAAAGCAATTGTCGTTCGATCGCATGTTTCTCAGCCTCAAAGGCCCCTTGTGCATGTTCCTCTATCCTGAGCCTGGGCTTTACCTCATGGTGGTTTCCTCCTTCCATTAATATTCTCTTTGCATACGTCATCTAAACCAGTAAGCTCAGTACAATGCCTAGGAGAAATAAACTTAATACCTTCATGCTTCTCCACT